TTTCCGTCGTAGGATACACATGACACGCTGTCACTTGGTTTGACGAGGTAAGTCACCATTTTCTTCACTATGATATTCTTCATAAAATCCAGAGGAGAATCAGCAATATAATTGGTCCTCTCCTGGCATCTCAGTTTCACTTACTTTCACACTGCCTTTTCTATAGATGATTTCATGGTAATTTTTCCGGATGAGCTCTTTGCTATGGTACCTAGACTTTATGAAATTAAGCACACTACTAGATTGGCAGCAAAGTCTCATCATTTTACAGTTGAACTGGCTAGATGTAACCGTAAGTTCTATGCTAACAGTTTCTTTTCTCGCACTTCTCGTTTGCGGAACTTTGTTCTGGCTCCATGCTTTCCAGACAACTTTGATCTTTTAAAAATTTAAATGCAATATCTATCTACTGTCTTCCTGATTACTCTTTTATTGTTCTTGCTCCTTCATAATATTTTCTGTTTTCTAATTCTTTCACACTCAGTAACCACTTGTTTCTTAGTGGTTTTATTACATAGTTTAGGGTAAATTCGATTAAAAAAATCTATCTTTCTCAAAGAACAGAAATAAACAATAAAAATGATTAGAGTTATCTCCCTTACATTAGGGAATTCATCACTTTTAAAATGTCAGCGAGGTGAGTACAATTCGTTTGGCGTCGTGCAGTGGCTGAAATATTACAAAAAAAAAAAAAACGTACGGTTTAAGAGATTCAGGATTAATTATGTTAGTGAAGAAAAAAGTTATCAAAGGATAATTTTTTGAAAAATTTATTTACCACTATTTGTATCACGGCTGGAAAAATAAACAAAAGAAAATAAAAGCAAGTTTTAAGTCAGAAGATAATGCCGGAAAATATACACTTTTTAAATAAAATCGTTACAAACATTTAAAGAGACCATTTCATGAAAAAAGCTGATTATAAAAAAACAACAAAAAAAACTGTAATAACAAACACACAAAACAATTATAAAACTTTGATAGTTATAATGTGACGTTTGTCATTAGTAAGAATGGACATAGTAGTCATTTCTACCTGGGTAGACAGGGTAAATATGTACCTATACTAAGCATAGCTTGGATGTAGCACAAAGTCAAAAGTATGGAGCACCCAGTGAGGATTAAATTCACTAATCCATCTTAATCCATTGCAATTGATTTCACAAGACAAGCTTGCTAACTCTCTCATATATATATATATATATATAATTTAAATAAAAACAGACCACTTTAAGGTTCCATGTAATAAATTATTTCACCACAGCCCTTTTAAAGGACTGCAGATGGAACCTTAAAGTGGTCTGTTTTTATTTAAATTATTTGCTCTGGATTTACATTGAGCTCTCTAGATTTTATCCTCCTTGGGTTTACCCATACGGATTACCTAATTTTCATAAACTATATATATATATATATATATATATATATATATATATAAGAAATGGACAAGGTCCGACAATTTATTTATTAAAGACATATTTTATGTTTAACGTTGTTATTTTATAGATACAAGTATTTAAGCAAATGCTCTGTTTATGATAAACAGTATTAAATAACATTTACCCGCCTGAATGTCGAGAAATTTTCATAGAAAATTTTTCGTTCTTTGACAAGATAAATTGACCTTAGGAACATATCCGCTGATAGGTCTGTCAAAGAACGAAAATTTTCTATGAAAACTTTCCATGAATCTCGTACATTCAATAACTGCTAAGCGTTATGTAAACAAATGACTGTTTATGAAATGGATAAACAGAACATTTGCATAAATACTTGTTTTTATAGATAAATAAGCAAACGTGATAAACATAAAATATGTCTTTAATAAATAAATTGTCGGACCTTGTCCATTATTTAATATATGACGCCATTTGTTTACATTCGATACGCCAGAGCAGTTATGAATGTACGAGATTCATGGAAAGTTGGAGTTTATAAGCTTTAAGTAAATTGACCTTTTCTTAACCGAATTTGTTTTTTTGTAGCCTGAATGATTCAAGGCATGTCAGCGTATATATGACGGTTCCAGATAGGATGCAGGTTCAATAGGATGTTCAAAGAACGAAAAATTTTCTATGAAAATTTCTCGGACATTCAGGCCGGTAAATGTTATTTAATACTGTTTATCATAAACAGAGCATTTGCTTAAATACTTGTATCTATAAAATAACAACGTTAAACATAAAATAATGTTTTTATTAATTAATTTGTTGGACCTTGTCCATTTTTAATATATGACGTCATTTGTTTACATTCGATACGCCAGAGCAGTTATGAATGTACGAGATTCATGGAAAGTTGGAGTTTATAAGCAGTAAATTCGACCTTGTCTACCGAACGCTTCTTTTGTAGCCTAATGGTAAGGCACGTCAGCGTATATGACGGTTCCGTATAGGATGCAGGTTGAATCCTGTCAAAGAACGAAAATTTTCTATGAAAAATTTCTCGGACATTCAGGCGGTAAATGTTATTTAATACTGTTTATCATAAACAGAGCATTTGCTTAAATCTTTGTATCTATAAAATAACAACGTTAAACATAAAATATGTCTTTAATAAATATATATATATAGACATTTTTTATGTTTATACGTTCTTTTTATAGATACAAATATTTAAGTAAATGCTCTGTTTCTAATAAACTGTATTAACAACATTTACCAAAACGCTCCTCTGTGGCTCAATCGGTAAAAGCATGTCAGGCTATATAATGGTTCGATTCCTGTTGGAGGATGCATATTTTCTATGAAAATTTCTCAGACATTCAGGCCGGTAAATGTTGTTAATACTGTTTATTATAAACAGAGCATTTACTTAAATATCTGTATCTATAAAAAGAACATATAAACATAAAAAATGTCTTAAAAATAATTGTCAGACTTTGTCCATTTCATAATATATATATATATATATATATGATTAAGTTGAGTAAAAGTTTGTCACTTAGCTGATTAATATTACCCTTCAGGGTGGTATCAACAAATTAATACATTTTCTTTTATATATATAATGTTGTAATGGTTACCAAACTTGTCTCACAAGATAAATTACAACTAAGTAGTGAGTTCAATCCTCACTTGGTTCTTTTTACTTCCGGCCTTGTGCCACATCTAAGCTATACTTAGTAAATCACTATAGGATGATAGGACACTTCAACATGGTGCAATGGTTAGGTCAGCAAGCTTGTCTCACTAAATCAATTGCGACTGAGTAGTGAGTTTGGCCCTCACTGGGTGCTCCATAATTTCCTCCTTGTGCCACATCTAAGCTACACTTAATAAACTGCTATATAAGGCTGATAGTAAAATAATAAACATTCATTAGGTAATAACAATGCAGGATGTTTTCTTCTATTGATGTAAGGTGGGAGATAATAAGAAAAATTTAGCATAACACAAATTTAGAAAAGATAGTGAATGTATGCACAATTGTGCCATTTGTGTACATCCATATTTTAAGATCTTTCATTTTAAATGTGTAAGATATTTTAACACATTTATGCATATATTAGATTTATAAAATATTGTATATATTTGATGATGGGTATAAAAATAAAACCATTTTAAACATCCAATAAAGATTATCAATTTTTATCTCTTGTTTTTTTCATGAGAAAAGATAGACACAGGGGTTAATTACAAAGGAAAATAAAGAAGTTAAAAAAATAGATTTTTCAAAACATTTTTTTCAAAGAAGAAAACCTTAATATGTCATCTGCTCACTGACTACAAAAAAAAAAAAAAAAAAAATTCCTCAGTGGAAAACAAAATTAAAAGTAAATAACAGTTTCTTGTTAGTTTAAAAAATTAAAAGTTTTTACCATCTTTCAAAAAATGATTTTTCTTTCACTTAAAAATCACATCTATATTTATAAAATATTTTTGAGATATAAATGCATTTGCTGTGTCTAATACCAGGTCACTTTTCGGCAAGCAAGAGCACTTGTTTACGTCAGGCACTTATATTAAAACCTAAATTTTCCTAGGCTTTGTGTCACAATTGTTCATTTTTTGAATAATAAATATATTAAAAACAAAATTATATTTGAAGTTCTGAATCAACTATTACAAAAAGAAAGAAAAAAAAAGTAACGTAGAAAAAGTAAAAAGAAAAGTAGTAGGATTATAATTAGAGGTAAGAACTCCATTTGTGTTTTTGTTTTTTGTATACCTTAATGTCCAAGGTAGTACAGGTGATGCTACATGACATAGCAAGCTCCTATAATAAAAGGAGTTTGAAACTTTGTTCTGAATTCCCATAATCTAACTTCAATTTCAGCTAAAAGCATTGAGATGAAAACAACAAAAATTAGAAAAATATACAAAAAGTTAAACCAAGAATCATTAATAAAAAGATCCTAATTGGTACTTTAAAATAAACAACTATGTAGGGAAGGAGATGACATATTTATTCATTCTCTTCAGTTATAATTTAATTTCAGAATGGAGGAAAAACGTTTTTAAAATACTAAAAAATAATATCAATTTTAAATAAATCCTGTAGTTGGCACTTTATAACAAATATATAAGAATTGAAATGTTATTTCTGGCTATTTAGGCTTGAAAAAGTCAGTAGTTTGTTGAATGGAGATCTTTCTCCAGACTGCATCTCCCCATTAAAATAAGAGGGTGGGTAAAGTCATTGTCATGCCATAATATCTATAGCAATGGCTGAGAAAATGTGACAACTTCAGACTGATCCATGAAAAAATATCTTTGAGTTGTGTGTCATATTGGGTGGGTATTCTTACTGTAGGGAGCTAAATCTTAAGCACTCAATACAGGTTTATAAGCAAGTAAATAGAAATTAGCTCTAGGGGGTTTTATTTTTTAGGTAACGTGTGTTTTTAAAAAAAGCAATTTCCTCAACCTGCATTATTCAAAATAACTGCTAAAACAACAAAAAATTTTCTAAAATGACATTCCAAGGTCCAAGCGAATGAACTCAAATCATGCTTCACTATTTCAGCCTTGTTCCAAACTTTACAAAACCTGTAAATATCAAGAGAAGACACCATTTATGGTAGGAAAGTTCAACTTGTTAATCATATCTGGTTTAGTATAAAAATTTGTACTTGATTGAATGAAATACTTGTGATGTGTTGCTATAAGCATTGTAACTAAAAACAAAAAAAAAAAAAATTAGACAAGAAATTTATACAAAAGCAAAAACGTGGACCCAGTCATACATAATACAGGATCATTTGATTAAAATTGACAGTATCATACAATGCAGTTTTAACATTTTAGACATTTTTTTTTTAAATGTTAACCATCATCATATCAATAATTGTCTTAATTTCACAAACTGCGATTTCATTACCAAAATTAGGAGTAATTACGATTTAATTCAAGGTAACACTCTTAAGATCAATTTTTAAATCATGAAAAATATTTCCAATTCAGCATTTACTTCCGACTGATATAGAGTCGCAAACATATTTCAAGGGAGACAACTGAAATCACTTCAAGTTATTTGATGGCCTTATAAAGGGTACGTTCAATTTTTGATTTAAAATTTTGAGGTTATGAAATGCATTGACTCAGAATATTTTGATAAAAAGCAGCAATAATTTGGAGTAAAAATAATAATCATAACAAAGAGTGTTGCGATAAAAAGTAGCAGTAATACAGTTAAGTAAATCTATTAAGAAAATAATAATAGTTATAATGTTCATACTTTTATAGTTAAAAAATGTAATGAAATAAAACTGACGTTTAGCAGGTAGTCACCAGGAAATTGTTTATTTCTTAATGTAAGAAATATCCTTGTGACATTCGTTTTTATGACACTATTGTATGGGTGCTTAAACCAATTTTTTTTTACTGAGATGGTCATTTTATAATACTTTTATTTCTATCTTTTCCTTTGCCAATAGCTTCAGCTGCTATCATGACCACTTTTAATTAAGGCCTCTATTGTGTGTGTGTGTGTGTGTGTATATATATATATATATATATAGCATAATGAGAAGCCACATATACTTTCTTAATATGTATATATAGAAAAAGTTTCAAATTGAAAATTATAATGTTTTATTTTATGAAAGTATTTATTTATTTATATATATTTATATATATATATACACATAAATTAGCTCTGCAGTAAAGCATTGTTATTTCTCGTCTAGGTCTGCATGGACATCTGCTCAAAAGGATGTTCTACACTCCCACTATATTAATAATGTTATTTACCAGTTTAAATGTAGTTGCAGTGCTGACTACATAGGTAGAACTACCTTACATTTAGATACTAGAATGCATCAACATGTACCTAGAAAAATTAGCAATGGAACGTTCCAATTAAGAGACGTTCTTAACAATACATATGGTTCCACCATTGCGGAGCGCTTCATTAAAAGACCAAATTGTGCCGTCAACTCCAGCGCAGACTCTTGTTCACTTTTTCAGTTGAAGGCGTTGGAAATAATTTACATGCAGTCCAGACGGCCCTCCCTCTGTAAACAGAGGGAATGTCTGTTAGGATTTGAGGTAATTTCAATCTGGATTGTATTCCGCCTTTAATATTGTATATTATTTGTGTTTTATATTTTGTATTGTGATATATAATCCCTTGATTTCAGTTCTGTTGAGTGAGGGCGAAACCAGTCGGTTGTGTTTGTGTTATAATTTTTGTAACATGGAAAGTAAAATTGGTCTTAGCTTTATTATTTCTGTAAGATTATATATATATATATAAAGTGAACACTGAAGTCAACATTCAGAGGTGACAGGCTGTTTCATGCTAGATGCTATATATATATATATATATATATATATATATACACACACATTTCATTGAATATGACAGACAAGGTGCTTTTATTTAGTTTTTTTTTATACAATTTCTTATAAATGGTTTTCATTTTTCAAAACACAGTTAAGATATTGTGTCCATGTTCATAGTTGATATTATTAAGTGTTGTTTTTTTTGTTTTTATTAATAAGGCTTCCATTATTTTTAGCCTTTTTTTTTTTCATGTAGATGATGCTATTATATTTGTGTTGTCAACAAGTATGTTATGAATAGTGTCATATATATATATATATATATATATATATATATATATATATATAAATATATATATATATATATATAAATATATATATATATATATATATATATATATATATAAATATAAATAAAATATAAATATATATATATATATATATATATATATATATATATAAAAAAAAAAAGAATAGTAAGATATATAATCCGTGTTCTTAGATATTTTTATTTTTACAAAATAGTGCTCAATGTAAATTTACAAAGCCTTAATAATATACATTAATATGATTTAAAATTTTTTTTTATATATATACAGTTCTAATATATATATTATATAAAAATGGAAGCTAAAAAGTTTTAAATTTAATTTTGTAATTAAATTAAAGACATTAGTTCCATTTAAAGACATTAGTTTCCATTTCATCCTCAAGTGAATTTTGGAGTAAATTATTTTTAAAATTACTGGGTTTTAAGGGCACAGTAAAAATTCATAATTCACGTTTCCAAGGATACAGAGAAATCCATTCATCCAGACAAGGGGTGTTTGCATGTTCATTATCACTGTATTTTGTTGTATCAGTTATTAGTTACGCTTGAAGAAGGGTTTTTATTTAGGTAGGGGTAGGGATGTATTTTTCAACGAATTCTGACATCCGTTAAATGCATGCTGTCTGGATTTAAAAAAAATTTTTTATTGGTAACGGCAAAAATTCTTATGGCATTTTTTTCTATTTGTATACTTAAAGATTTTTTGGGGGTGTTTAGGTTAGAATACGTTTAATTTAACTATGATTTTAAAAAAATATTTTCACTTTTAATTTTTAATATATTTCTTTTTAAAACAAGTAAATGTATAAGAATTACTTACAGTAAGTAAAATTATTTTTTCATATCAAGTATAAGTATGTATATTACCAGGTCACAATTTTTTAAAATTCATATTTAAATATTATTTAAGTAAAATTTATGACAATGACAGCAAAAAATAGCTAATTCATTTCTCTGACTTAGTAAACTTTTATTTTTATAAGCTTAGTAATATATAGTTTCTCATGTATGTACAGAGGACATGGGTCATCTAATGGCCTACATCTTCTAGCTTTTCATCTTCATTTCATTTTACTGTAGGTGTTTTATTGGATTCTTTTAAGTGCTTGTAGTACTTTGAGAGAGGTGTTTAGTGTGTTTTTATTGAAAATAGTACTTAGTTTACTTTCACTAGGAAAATGCTTGACTATTAATGCAAGGAATTTTTGTCTTAATGTTTTTTACCATTTGGTTGTATGGGGACATATACCAAATTATTTCTCTACTTCTGTTTTTTCTATGCTTTCCATTTTCATTTTTTATATAAGTTAGTTTTGGGTTTTTGTAGCCACTATCTTTTAGAGCTTTATTATAGGAATTGATATACTCATCGAAAATTTTGTCATTTGCTGAATTTGTACTTATTCTTTTTCGGATAGATAACAGTATATGCTTAATTATAGATGGGGGGGGAGATTTGATTTAGGGTGTATATATAAAGGATTGGTATTGGGTTTTTTATAAGGTGTGTATGTATTTTTCATTAAATCTAATGTTATATCAAGGAAGTTAACTTTTTTAAATTTAGTGCAAACCCTAATTTTTAAACCCATGCTTTTAAATTCTTTATATAATACCTTTCTAATTTGATCTATTTTGAGGTTAGTTGAGTTTCTGTACAAACCAATGTTAGTTATATTAATATCATGGTGCGCTGTAAGGTTGTATAATATAAAAAGACCTATGAGATCAGAAGACTCAGCTGAGTCTAGTGATCCCATTGTGATGTCAAAGTGGTCATATGAATTCTTAATCTATTGCTCACCTTTATGTACCAGTACCGATTTTTTCGCATTTACATTAATGTTCTTTTCTTCTTCTGTAATATCCGTGTAATGAGTGGCAAAGTCCAACGCATTCATGAACAGTTCTTTAGATATTGATTGGTAATAATTATCAATATCAAACTGCATTAGTGTACAATTGTTTTTTTCTTTTATATAAGTAAACCAGTTTATCACTTCCTTAGTATTAATCCAAAGTTTCAGGCTTATTTTTTCTTTAATTTGTTTATTTACCCTTTCAAGGATCATTTTACTAATTTTTCCAATATCCAGTCTCATAGGATTTATTATCCTTGTAGTGGGATTAGCCTCAAAATCTGGTTTGTGGTCCTTTAAGGTTATGTAGCATTCCCTTTGATATAGTTGACCTAGTTTATCAGTGATTTCTTTACTGCTAGTATTGATATTCCGAACTATGTTGAGGTCATTATTATTTGCCTTTTTGTAGTTGTTTAATAAAAGTTTCCAGTTTTGTTGGATTTTACTAAAGTTTTATCTGTTGCGTTAATTCCTTTTACTATTTTATCTAGGCGTTTCTGGAAGTAGCATATAAGCTTAGCAAAGGTAAATCTAGAAAAATTCTATTTATGATTTGCTAATATGAAAGGAGGAGAATTCAGCATCATTCAAATAGAAGTGGAAATCACAGAAAATTTTTCAAAGAATCAAAAACATTTCATCATTTTTAAATTAATGGTGCACGTGCATTCAAAATTGCATTGAATAAAAATTGTGCAAATTATTTCCCATAACAGAACAACAGTTAACAATAAAAATATGAATAAATAATTTATGCAAAAATATTAAAAATTATAAAATTATGAAAAATAAACATTTACAAAATTTGAAAAATTAAACTAGAAATATTTTTAAATAAAGCTAAAAAAAAAAAAAAAACGTTAAATGGTATAAATTTAAAAAACAAAAAAAAAAAGGAAAATTTGCAAATTTTAAAAACATTATCAATGTGAAAATAATATTCTTTAAAATTTATTTTTGAAATTATGCTGTTGGAAAGATAGCTAATTTTTAAAGATATAATTTTTCAAAATAATCTTCAGTATTCTTCAAAATATGCAACCATGAGAAATTTTGAAAATCAAATCAGTTTCAAAACCAATTAATTAAAAAAATATTGTAAAATAAAACAAAAACACTACATCTTCTTTAAAATATAAATCTCAAAATGCTAATGTAGAACAAACAAAAACTATTAATTTTGAAATAAATACAAATAAATTTTAAAGTAAACATTTTAAAATCTTCAAATCAAATTAAATTGAAATTAAATAGTAATTAACCGTTTTTCAAATATATTAATCAAATTTTTGATGCTCTCTAAAAAATAGGAAAATATATCGATAAGGGATATTTAATCTGCTATTATTTCTTATTGCTATAAATTTTATATTTTGTAGATACACACATTTGAGTAGTCAAGTATTTTTTTAAAACGGTGAAATTAATGTCTTTTGGCCGAGAGAATAAAAGACTCATAAAAGGAAGGCACATTTTCTTTAATAAGATTTTTGATATCTCGCTTAGTAGATATTAATTTCAGTTTAAAAGGGTACCCGCTAAATATAAAACTTTATTACATACATATACACATACATACACACATATATATATATATATATATATATATATATATATATATATATATATGTGTGTGTGTATGAGAGTGTGTGTGTATATGTATGGTGTATGTTCACACACAAACATACAATGCTTAAAACATTTTCAATGTCGGATGAAAAAAATTGTTATAACTCCTATTCACGAAGATAAAAAAAAATTGTTTATAAATAATCTTCCTCAATTCCCACAACCCAAGGTTCTGGTTCTTGAATATATTTCAAAATATAATCACCACCACGTCTGACTTTGGGGCAAAGTTCCAGCAGTCTCTTCTTTACATGTTCCGGAATTATGCAATACACATACAACCGTTTTAATTCAGAGCATTTTCCAGCCGTTTCTAATAGAGATTCGCAAAAGGGAGCTGAACTCAATGTTCTCAGGACCAAACTTTGCAGTGTAGCACTGTAATAATCCCCAGCTCTTTGAACCTCATTATGGAGCATTGTGAACGTGTCTAAATGAAGATCCACTACAGGAATTACCGGTTGCATTATGTCAAGAACACGATCTTGGGGACAGGTGTGGTCGAAATGGAGTTTAACACGAAGTCGGGGGTGAGCAGTGGTCACTGCTGACCATGCTTCAACAGTCAAGTCTGGATGATACTTTTCATCAATACGACACTTAATGGAGAGATATTCAAAAACTTGTGGTCGGCACTGTTTGGCTAAGAGAAACAGAACTTCATCAGAGAGACTAGAGTGAAAGACATGGAGTTCCCGGAGATAAAGGCACTGCTCGACAAGTCTGTACATGCAATCCCATGTGACCTTGCTGACAAGTACCCTGTTCTGGATGTTCAGCACTTCCAAAGAAGGATGATTGACTGAGAGGAGGTCGAATACACTGTTGTCATAAGCAACATCCAGTTGGGACAAATTCACCTCTTTTAGCCTTGCCATTTCGAAATTATTATTTTCTTTGTGATCACAGTCTGTGGATGGTGGAAGGGAGAACAGTTGTTTCAAGGCTTCCACAAATTCCTTGCCAGCATAGAAGAGAGGGTTCTCAGATTTGAAGACAATGGTCAAAGAGGTGAGGCGCCGGTTCGGAATTTTTGACAAGAAGTCCATGACTTTGAGAGCATTTATTCTAAAACAAAACAAAAAAACAAAAGAAAAATCAATGTATTGTAGAATTATTATGAACATAAGGTTGGCATTATTAATAAAAGTTTATATAGAACTCGGGGTTTCAACCATAGATGAATTATAAACAAGCTACTATTTAGAACCCGAGACTGACTTTTCTTAATCATTGTCCAAGGCCCAAGCTGAAAATTTTAAACTGAAAATCAAAATGTTTTTTTTTTTTAATCATTTTACCAAAGTAAGGTAATAAAGCCACTGAGATACAAGGAGTTGGGTTACTGAAAGTAAGAGAGTCCAAGAAAAAACATTATTAATGGAAGAGAACAATAAAACAACAGGAATTAAAAAGACAGAAGATAATGATTGTTAAGCTTTTAAATTTTTGAAGAGTGTGGGTTAGGTGGCATTATTTAAGTCTATAAAAAGATCAAAGAACAATGAAATGCATTGTATGAATTTCTTTTTTCATTATGTTAACAGAAAAGTTTCAATCATTGCCAATGTTCAAAAATGAGAATTGAATCTGTTAAAAAATAACTTATGTCATATTTACCTCCACAAGAATCAAACTGGTAGACTATTTCCTTATCAAAACCCATCTTTATGGTAGATATAAACAAAAAAAAAGCTGAGCATTGATATGATCCAGCCAATGCCTTTACTAAAATTTAGCTCAAACATATTGAAGAAAGTGCTAGAGTGTTAAAGACTCGCTGTCATTAGATCCCCAATAGGAGTCACCAGGTATGACTGATGAAAAAAAACTTTGAATGAATACAGACACTTCAATGCATTACCTAGTCTGTTAATAAGGTGCATTAATTCATGACCACTGACAATTCCTTCTTTCCTGATTTCAATAATATACAGATTTAGTGCTAGAGTTTGTTATTTTTTTATCATTTCACTCCAAGCAAGGCAATAAAACTAATAACATGTGTGTGAGAGTATATGACAAAAAGAAAAACATTATTAAGGAGAGAGAACAATATAAAAACTAAAATTAAGAAGATAATGATGGACATTGCATTTAAATCTTTGAAGATCAAAGTTGACTGGAAAGCAAGAAGCTGGAAGAGAGTTCCACAAGTGATAAGTGCAAGAAAAGAAACTGTTAGCAAAGAACTCACGATTTACATCTAGATATTTCAACAGTAAAATGATGAAACCTTGCCACCAATCTAGTACTGCACTTAAATTCATAAAGTCTAGGTATCATAGAGGCAAGTTCAAAACAATTACCATGACCCATGAAAGTTTTTTTATAGCAAAAGCACAGAGAAGCTGCACTACACCAGTGGGGAAGTGACGGAACCCAAGATGCCAGGTTAGGATCTATTGTGTGTGTGTGTGTGTGTGTGTGTGTGTGTGTGTGTGTGTGTATATATATATATATATATATATAAATCCATCCATCCATCCATCCATCCATCCATTCCCATTTGTATCTTAGGGAAGCTGAAGCTATACAGCAATAATATGTCAGGTTTCTCTATCTCGGTTTACAAAGTTTTCAGACTAATGAAAAGACTTGATACTACAAAAGCTAATAGTCTCAATAAAATTCCAGTGTTTATTCTTAAGCACCTTAGCCCAGAATTATCTCCAATGTTGGCAAAGTTGTTTAACCATTGCTTGAAAGAGAAGTGTTTCTCAGATCTAAGGATTGTGTCAGCTGTAAGCCCGGTTTTCAAGAATGCAGGTGAGCACTCATCTTGGTTTCAATATTGCCCCAACAGTCTCTTTAGTGTTATCAGCAAATTCTTTGAGTCTATTATCAACAAGAAGGTTGTTTAACATCTTGATAGAAACAACTTCCTGAGTGACAAACAGTATGGATTTTGCCCTTCTAAATCCACTGCTGATGTCCTGTCATTACACACAGAATCAGCAAAGCACTCAATAAGAAACTCATCACAAGATTGATTGCCTTTAAATATCTTAAAGGCCTAGGTGTGGCATAAGAGGTTGCTACAAAAACTCTCCAGCTGTGGTATCTCTGATAGAGTCTTTGCAATTAGCAAGTCCTTCCTATAGGGTAAATGAAGGTCATTATTAATGACCAGTCTTGTGACCCATGCAGACATTCTCCAAAGCTCTTTATACTTGGTTCTATCCTGTTTTATATTAACGATCTACCTAAGAACATTCTCAGATCTTTAGTTAATAACTATGCCAATGATATCATGGTTTATGGGTGCACCTCCAAAAATCTACATAATCAGAGTCTGGCAGTTGATCTCTCCTTTCATGTAAACAGCCCAATGGGCTCCAAAAACCAAGCTAGTATTATCCCCATGCAAACTCAAAATGTATGTGCTTCTAATGAGGCTTCTTGCTTCAATATAAACATGCTACTAAAGATGCTGGAAAAATGGTCAGTTCTTTGTGCCATTCCAGAAAGTATCTGACTCCTCCTGCCAGGCTCTATCTATACAAAATGTCAGATCAAACCAAAAATGGAGCAGACCAATCTTTGCTTTCCAGTCTTGAGAGAGTTCAAAGGTGTTTATGCAGCCTGAAGGGTGAATTATTTTCCACCAACAAAATATCACAAACCTATCATTACTCTATCACTATTGCCATGGCAAATGCTCTAGCAAGCGAAATTTGTTAGTTCTATCAGTTCAGGCCTTTACATCTAAAACTGCCACGTCACATACATAGGGCTGAATCCTATTGGGCTCTGTCAAACATCTTCGCATAAAAATGTCATATTCTTAAAATGCCATAACAATTAAGAGAGAACCAAGTGTGCACATGCTCAAAGCATTCTTCCATAAGTTCTTTACTCAGTCAGTACAAACTGTGAAAAGCTATTACATCCATTGTCAACCTTGTCACATATAAAAATTTAATTGATATTTATATTTTCTTTTATTTCAAAGGAAATTCAGGATTAAGTTACTTGATGAAATGCTTAAAGAATAAGAAAAAAAAAAGTTACCGATTATAGTCCATGCTTTGGTCAAGTTCAATGCAAACTTTTTTCAAAAAATGTCCATACTTCTCTAAGCACTGTAAAGAACGGCTCATGTTCTTGGAGAAAAACTGGAAACACATTGCTTGCCATAAGCAGGATGCACCAAAACATTGGTTCCAAGCTTTGCAGGTTAAGCAACAGTTGAATCGGTCAAACAATGGAAGGTAGGAAAAAATTTGAATGATGATATGATCTGGAAGTTCACTCCAATCCATTGTTCCTTAAAAAGAAAAAAAATCTGTAATTAGGACAAACATCTTAGCATCTATCAATATTAAAAAAAAAAAAAGAAGACAAACAATTTCTGTCTCAAATTTTGAAATGAAGACCTATTCTAATACTGGGTAAATATAGATACGTAAGTGGCTTTGTTCAATGAAAAGAGACGTGTGCCTTCATCTGAATAAAAGATGTCAGTTGTTTTTCTTTAGCAGTATAACAACCTGTATGGATTAGTTAATGCCAAAATCTAAATATGAAAATTCAGGCTTTATAATTAATTCAAGAGAATGACATTATTTCATGGTTAAATTATTATTGCTTAGTTGTATTTTTTTAACAAATAATCTAACAAAATCAAATGAAGAGTGAAAACTTGTTTCTCCTTACAAGAAATGAGATTAATCATAGAAAATTGTTTTTTATTTAAAAAATTTTTTGACAATGTATGCTGTCTTCAATTTTGCTATTAAAATATGTTGTTGGTAAATTTACTATAAAATGTATTGTTGGTAAATTTATTATAAAATGTATTGCTGATCATTTTGCTATAAAAATATGTTGTTGGTCATTTTATTATAAAAATGTATTGGTGGTCATTTTATTATAAAATGTATTGGTGGTCATTTTATACTTTCCTAGTGTTTTGATTTTTGTTTGGGGGTTCATTATTTACGTATAGTTGAGACCCTAACAGGTGCTACCACTCCAGGTCATGGTGGGCCTGGGAAGCAATTAAGAGGTGGTTCTGCATTCCTCTAAACCTCCAATCAGAGGGTTTGCTGCCAGACGTAGTTTATCGTCATGCCCAGGACAAAAAAAAAGAAAGAAAAAAACCCAAAAAAGAACATCCTAAGAAAAGGATAACACAAGCCTGAATAAGTCAAATTTAATTTCCATTAACAATGTCGTTTTTAGTTTAGAGATTGTTTTATGCTGCTTCTTTATGTATTTTGGCTAAATTGATAACATTGCAGGATGTGCAGGTAGTGTAATGGTTAGAGGCTTGAAAGAGAGTTCAAACTCCAGCAGAGGTCATTACATTCATTTTCACACAAATATCCTTGGGAAAGGTAGGAATCCATCTCTTCTCAACTAAACTATGGGTTAAATAGCTTTAGTGCCCTACCTTGAAATGAGTGAGGTAAGGACAAGATATAGTAGATGCAGAAAAAGGGGGCACCAAGACTGTTGTCCTCATCTTTATTGTTGCATTCACAACGTTTTGGCCGTTATACACTCTTGCCTTCCTCGGGTGATATTTATTGGAATTTTGAACCAAACCCCTTATTGTGTCCCCAGTGGATAAAAGCATTGGTTGAATGATCCAAAAAGTGACTTAACCCAAAGAGTTGTGAGTTCAATCCCTGGCCTCAGTGGAGAGAACAAAAACTTGGAGAGTTATGAAGGCGAATTAACTAAAACTGAGATATCCAAAGGCATGGAATGTGGAATTAGAATAATCTATCCCAGTGGACTAAATAATAGGCTCAGTTCAAAATTCTAAAAATATCACCTGATGAAGGCCTGAGCATACAATGGCCAAAACATTGTGAGTAACATTAAGGGTGAGGACAACAGTTTGAACAATGTAAATAGTTTAAATGAACCCGAGAAAAGTTTATAGCTGATAGTTTAGACATTTCTGAAGGGGAGTGCCATGTATGACATCCATATGGGAGTCTAGATCTGACATAGTTATTTTAGAACATGACTAAAGTTCTAAGGTTAATATTTTGGTTTTGTAGTATATAGGGGTGTTTGACAAATCTACTCCTAGCAAATCTCACCCATTCTATGTTCAATTTCCTTATCCCATATATATTAAATTTATACCTGTACAATGTAGCTTCCCTATGCATTTTCTGTAAATACTTTCATGGTAATTATTATGATGAACTTTCCACTTTGGTACCTCAACTTTATGAATTTAAGTGCAGTACTAGACTGGCAGCTAGGTCTCATCATTTTACAGTTGATATAACTTGATGTAACCACAAGTTCTATGCTAAGAGTTACTTCTCTTGGAATTTCTCACTTGTGGAACTCTTTCCTGGTTTTCCAATTAACTTTGATCTTCAATAATTTAAATGTTATCTTCTATCACCTCTCCTTAATGTTTGTTTCTCAGACTGTTCCACAGTAACTGCTTACATTTTAGTGGGTTTACTGCAATTAGAGTTGACATTAATGCATGTAAGGTTTCACAGTTCTAGCATCACTCCTTCATAGCCTACAAACTTTTCAGCTTGCATTATTTTGCCACCCATAGAAGCTAAATCGTTAGCAATAAAATTAAAATGTTGATTCTAATCATTGGATGATTTATCTTGTGAAAAACATTGAAAAACTGGTTTTACAAGAATTAATTAATTCCTAGTTGACAAAAGTTTGCTAACAGGCCTTGCAAAAAAAAAAAAGAAAAAAATTATGCATTTTTCAAAAGTATAGCAAATAGCATTATCAGTTGAATTCAGGATCCAAATTTTGCTAAATTATAGATCCATCCCATATCTTTCATTCATAAAAAAAAGCCTTATTCATTGATAACCTGCCATAGAAAATAACAGACCACAGAGAAAGATTTTGCTTTAACATTTAGTGCTCTGCATCATTTATAAATATTACATCCCCTTTTACTTTTATATATGGAATCCCATCAAAATATAGTGTTTTATATATAGTTCTATATACATTTGAAATTGCAGTAGCCTGGCACTCAATTTCAGTCAAGATTCTTTTAGGTGTTGCCATAGAAGGTTATGATTACATAACCAAGAAATTCAAATTCAACTTGCATTGGCAAGACTAACATTTTGCTTGGGATCTGGTCCAGCTAAACAGTCGAACTCTCTGCCTTCGGGCAGAGAGGAACTCAGACAAGGCTCCACTGAAGGGCAGTCTCTCGTTCGGGGAGGTTGACTAAACGGGTTCAAAAGGGAATATTTTTGGCCAAGCCTATGCACTCGGAGAACCCATGTTAAACTGGCCTTGTGCCACATGCAGCCCTTGTCGGGGGGGGGGTAGCTAAATATACTAACATTTTGCTTGTCAAAAATAGTCACCTACAGAGTGCTAAAAGTTAAAATTCAAAATGGATACAGAGTTTTGACTCCTAAAATCTATGGTACAGTGAATGTTCTTTTAGAATACTGAGTTTTTATTTGTTTGACTAATTTTGGAGCAACTCTGGCTCCCGCTTCAATCTGAAAATTGGAACAAGCTCCAATCTATGCTCCATTTGATACAAAAAGGTGCCCCTCCAGCTCATTTTTTCACTTTATTTATGATATATATTTACTTAATAAGCTAAATATTTTATTTTATACCATTTACATTATTCAAACTTGTCTTCAGCTTTGTTGTCATATTCACAATGTTTTGGCTGTTGTTCACTCTGGTCTTCTTCAGGTGGTTGGATGAAACCTTGTGAATATGACAACAATGATGAGGACAAGTCCAAACAATTTAAATAGTGTAAATAGTTACAATACCTCATCTCAGAATATAGACGGATACTAAATATTTTAATTTTTCATATTTTTCAATATTAGAGAAAATTTCTTTAAAAATTCCAATTTCCCATATTTTCATTAAACCTTAAATTTTGATTTTCTGTGTATTGTTTTTAATAGTGAATCCTATAAATGAAAACCTTAGCTGCTCCCCATCCCACTCCAACTGTGACGTCCCTAAACACAGCCTTCGCTCGCTCCTCGATGCTTCGTCCGCCTGTCACGTCAGTCGTGTTGTCTCGTCCTGTGATGACCAACTGGCTTGGTATCGTTCGTGGCACCCAAATGTGACGTTCTAACCTTTTGGTGATTCGGATTGGAATCTGGTTAGATTCGATATCAGCCTCGTCGTTCCCAACTCGCGTCTGGTTACCAAAGTAACTGCATTGATCTCCAGTCTGCCTACCCACGTTGTGAATTGATCTTAGGCAGACGAAATCAATCAGTCGTCAGGGCCATAATGCAAGTTGGGTCCAAGCCGGGGGGGGTATCGCACAAATATGTATAAAAGAATAAAATGATAACACAAAAGTTCAAGGTATCAAAAAAAAGGATAACAAACTTTATGTCTAGTTGCTGGATACATAGGACTGCGTCTATCTCCCGACCCGTTATATGGATTGTGACACGTTGTTTTCCGTTAGGTGAGTTTTAACACTTCAAGTTGTCTGCTCTTCAAGAAATTGGTTCTTGGTGTGTCTTCAGGCGAAAGTCAAAAAACTTATTTTGGTGGTATGGATCTAAGTCGCTCTTCAAAACAAGTTGTTCTTGGATTGAAGATGAGTCCGGAAATTGCACGAATCTTAGTCAGCTGATGCAAGGCCTGCTTCAACTGAGCACTGGAGACTGACTCTGGGAAACCGGAGTCCGAACATAACTTTTGGTTAGGAATTTTCCACTTCTTTCCATTTTTGGGAGCCTTCTCTTACTCCCACCTTCTCACCATACTTCAGAGGGGCGTCAACTGCCCTCCCCACTTCTTCGTAGCAACCTCTCATACCCATCCTCTAGGTGGGCGGCGACAGCTTCCTCCTTGCGTCATGTGATCACCACTCGGCCAATGTCCAGCCGGGCGTGTGTGATCCCGCGGGCTTTGTTTCAGGGAAAAAAAATATATCTTGCTTAACAAAAAAAAATTAACTTTTTCTTTTCTTTCTTTTAATCGCAGTTCTCATTTTCTCTGGCTGCCAATAGAACAACGCGACCGGTGGTGGTCATAACACTTGTTCTCATCTGGACTTCGTCAGTCAGATTATCGCTAATTATCAGAATGGGTGGTCTACTCAACACAATACCATCGTCCGTACCCTCAAAAAAAATAGTTCCATGGTTCTAGTCATTCTTTGGTGCACCTTTCTGATAACATAGTTTTGTTATCACAGCCAAAGATGTCTTTGTCAAAAAAAAAAAAAAAACGGTCAACCGTTACTTCGTGTGCGGCTCAGCAGACGACAGTTAACTTTTCATATCTATCCAAAGCCCTGTA